AAAAAAAAAAAAAAAAAACAGTAACAACAACAAAATGGCCAGTGGATTGGGGTGTGATCTAGGCTTAGTAAAGATCTTGCCCAGCATGTGTGAGCTCCGAAGTTTGATCCAAATACTGGAAAATTAACCAGGCAATTAATTCCAGAAAAAGAATGGTTACTTTTACATTTCTCTGACCTTTTCCAATCTGGCAGAGTCTTCTTATAAATAGAATCAAGGGGTAACACCTGTTGACGACCCTGGGTTTCATCATATATTCGACGTGCAGCATCAGTGGTTAGGGTGACCACACAGTCCATGTCACTTGCCAGATGCCAGGAAATAACCACTGCAGCTCTGTCATCTTCAATTTGTGCAAGATGTGCAATCTACAATTCATTTTAACATCAAGTAAAACATTTAAAAATAAACATAAAAATCTGTCATTAAATATTTTAAAAGTCTAAAACTAAAAAGCAAATGAATAAGAAAATTCTCATCCAAGTGAGGTGGCGCACACTTGTAATCTTAGCACTTGAGAGGCTGAGTTTGAGCCAACCTTAGTCACACAGTAAGACTATCAATAAAAGAGAACACTCAAGCTTTAAAAACTTATATTAACTTCCATGTATGAAGCTATCTATTCTGTCATTAAATTTTTTTGGAGGGAAAATGCCTTAAACACCAGTAAACTTGCAAGTAAATAAAACTGTTGCAAATAGTCTTAGCTAATTAAAGATACACTGTCTTTTATACTTTAATCTCTGCATTAAGAATAGCTATATTTAAATAATAAAATGCAACTTATATTCAATTAAGCATATACAGCTAATATATCTTCTCAAGCAAACATTTCACTTCAGTATTATACTATTTCTTTTAGAATACTAATCTAAATATCACAATAAGAATTGTTTCATTGATTTATGCTAACGGGAAAATTTCCTTGAAACTTAGGATACCCACTTGATTATTTACAAATATTTGCCTTTAAGCACAGACATTCCTGCTCAATATCAAAACCTCATTTACTGTGTTGACATAGTCTTACCTAATCTGATTTAGTAGCACACATCTGCCTAGCAGTAATAGTGCTTTAAGTTGCTGTTAGATATACTACAATGTCTATGCTTGTTTTCCAATTCACTAGAAGTCAATGGAAGAAAAGTTAAGACAAAAAAGAGGGAGGGGTGTGAAAGAAGGAAATGTTAAAGTTAGTGCAAGCTGGGAATGTAGCTTAGTGGTAGAGTGCTTTGCCTAGTATGCATGAAGCCCAGGGCTCAATTCCTCAGTACCACATAATCAGAAAAAGTCAGATGTAACACTGTGGCTCAAGTGGTAGAGTTTATTAGCTTTGAGCAAAAGAAGCTCAGGGACAGTGCCCAGATGCTCAGTTCAAGGCCCAGGACTGGGGATGGGGGAGTGGGGGGGAGAAACTGCTGTAAACAAAGATGAAAAGTTCTTGTCAAGGTAGGAAGGATTAATAGAGGTAAATTAAATATAAGCTAAAGAAATAATTTCTTATGTGTGACAAACTTATTTTCCAAAAGAAATATTATAATGGAGTAAAATATATTTACAAAAATATAGCAACTATAAAGATCTAAGGCAACAGTCATCTAATGAACTTAGCAATGATTGCATAGCAATGATTGCAAACAGAAGTTCTAATTGAGAAAAAAAGTGTGAAAAAGAAATGTTCATCATTAAATAATACTAGGATAAAAATGAAAAAATAACTTAGAAAGAATGATAATTATTTTACTGTGTAGTAAAATATGCACAAACTTTTTTTTACTGTTCCTTTTTCTTAAATCTAGGGTTTCTATAATAACATAAGATTTGGAACTCAAAAGAACACTGTTGATATTTCTCCATCTTAAGTTGGTCTGAAGACACAGCTGCTGACAGACCCTATGAATAATGAAAATTTCCACAGCCTTCTCTCTTCCCAGAGAGTAAACTGCTGGACAGGATCTGTTAAACACTGAGACTAGTAATCAGAGAAGTTAGGTCCCACCTCAGTTCTCCTCAGCCAGTGCAATTTGTTTCAGTGAAGTTCTATTTTAAGCAAAAATGATACAAGGTAACAAGAATGTACTGTTTCTTAAATAACTTAAATACAAACCTTTCCCAAAACATCTCCACTGCCTTTAGTATAATTTGGAAGTGTACATGATCTTCTGGGTTTTTTCTTTAGTTCTTCCTGTTCTGCTATCTTTCTTTTCAAAAGTGCTTCAATGTATGACACCTGTAATTTATATAGAAAATTTTATCCATAAGGCCAATACTATTATTAACAGGCAGCCAATAAGGATGACACAGAAAACTCAACAATTTGGAAAATGTGAGAACATAAAAGTTAATCAGGGGGTCCAAGCACTAGTGCTTCATGCCAGCAATCCAAGCTACTCAGGAGACTAAGATCTGAGGATTGTGGTTTGAAGCCAGCTAGGGCCTGAAAAGTCCATGAGATTCTTCTCCAATTAACTACCAAAAAGTTGAAACTGGAACTATGGCTCAAATGGTAGGGCACAAAAACTCAGCGTCAGCTCCCAGACCAAGTTCAAGCCCCAAGACCAAAAGAAAAAACAATCAGGGGGCAAAATGGAGGATCAGATGTGTTCATTGCTTTGGCTTGGTAAATGAGAAGTGTTAGGTAACATAAGAGAGATCGCATATTTCATCTCTTTCTCTCTTTATAACATTGGGAAACATGAAAAAGGCAGCAGGAAAACAGAAAAGCATGGAGAAGCAGGCACAACAGAAAAAATGAGAAAGTTTCTAGTTGGTCCCTGGCTTCCTGGGTGAGGGAAGGGAAGCTCAAGATGCCAACAGAAGGCATATGTGTATAACCTCCACCTCCAGGCCACCACACAGATCCTATTTAAAAATTGAGACATTTCAACTATTGTAGTTGATTAAAACTCCCAACAAACATCTTGGCATCAGATATGTAAATCACAATGCAGAAACACAAGTAATATGAAGAAATAGACACTGTATGACCTCCAAAAGTCAACAATTCCACAATAAAGGACTTCCACAATAATGCAGTGTATGAACTTTTAAAGAATGAACAATGCTAAGAATGATCAATGTCATTAAAAAGGACATGTATAAATTTCCTGAAAGAACTTAAGAGAATATAAAGAGCTGAATGAGCCTAAAGAAAAATCAAATAAACAGCTGAAAGAAATAAGGAAAACAATCTGAAATATATGAGAATTTAATAAAAATATAGAAGTACTAGGGGAAAAAAAAACAGACTGAAATTCTTGAAAGTTCAGTAATACAAATTTAAAAATGAGTCAAGCCAGGCGCCAGTGGCTCACACCTGTAATCCTAGCTACTCAGGAAACAAATCTGAGGATCTCGGTTCAAAGCTAGCCCACAAAGTAAAGTAAGACTCTTTTTTTTTTTCTTTCTTTCTTTTGTCAGTTGTGGGGCTTAAACTCTGGGCTTGGGCGCTGTCCCTCAGCTCTTCAGCTCAAGCAGGCACTACTTCCAGTTTTCTAGTGGCTTATTGGAGAGAAGAGTCTCACAGCCTTTCCTACCTGGGCTGGCTTTGTGAACCCTGATCCTCAGATCTCAGTCTCCTGAGTAGCTAGGATTACAGGCAAGAGCCACTGGTGCCCGGCTGAGATTCTTATCTCCAATAAACCACCAGAAAACCGAAGTGGTGCTGTGGCTCAAGTGGTAGAGTGCTAGCCTTGAGCTGAAGAGCTGAAGGACAGTGCCCAGGCCCAGAGTTCAAGCCCCACAACTGACCCCTCGCCAACCCACCGCCAAAAGAACTGAAAGTCTTGTTAACAGAATCAAGGTTGAAAATAGAGTATCAGTAACAAAAATAGAGGAATTAAAATAATCATATAAATAAAAATAACAGAAAATATGAACAGAACATTTTTGGGATACCATCAAAACACCAAGCCTCTAAAGTGGAAGGAGAAAAATATAAGAAATAAAAATATATTCATTACAAGGTAGAAGCAAGACCCCCCCCAATCTTGCCTAAGAGAGGGCAATCCAAGTGCAGGAGTTTTCAGAACACCAAATAGAAAAGGTCAGAAAAAAAAAAAAAAAAACAGAAAAAGGTCTGTTAAAACACTAAAAATACAGAATATTAAAAACTGCAAAACAAATAAGTCACGTATAAAAGCAGACCTCAGAAAAACTTTCTAACACTAAAGGCTAGAAGGGCTTGGAAATAAAGCATACAAAGGGCATTCCAAGCCCTCAGAGTAACTATTAACCTAGATTAAATGTATATAGCAAAGGTATCTTCTTAATTGACAAAGAAATATACATTTTCTACAATAAACAAAAACTACTCATGATCATTAAACCACAAAGAGATCCCACACACAGAGAATCATGATATGAGCTGGGAATATAGCTTAGTGGTAGAGTGCTTGCCTACCATGCATGAAGTACTGAGTTGGATTCAGTACCACATACACAGAAAAAGCCAGAAGTGGTGCTATGGCTCAAGTGGGTAGAGTGCTAGCCTTGAGCAAAAGAAGCTCAGGGATAGTGCCCAGAGCCTGAGTCTGAGCCCCAGGACTGCAAAGAAGAAAAAAGAAAATCATGGTAAATGCAACCAGGAAAAAGCAATAAAGGATAAATCCCAGCAGATGACTAGATCAGGATATGGCAATAATTAGCAAAGAAGCAAGTATCATCCCTTTCCCACAAAAAAAAAAAAAAAAACCAGCAGAATGACATACCTTTTAATATTAACACAAAATGTTACTAGTATTTCTTCAAACTAAAGATAGAGGAAAGGTGGGTTAAAACCTGACCATTTATTATCCTACAATAAACACATCTCACTGAAACATTGGCTTACATGAAAGGATGGAAAAAAATTCTTCTATAGAGTACAACTCTATTCCAATCTAATAAATTAGATTTCATACCAAAATTAGAGAAAACAAAGATGGTCATTTCACATTAATAAAGCGAATAGTCCAAGGAGAGATAAGGAAGGCTCAAATAGTAGTGGAGTCTCAAGTTCAAACTCCAATTTTTTTAAAAAAAGGAGATAACAATTGTACAATAGTTGGTATATACAAATCAAATACTCAAATACTCAAATTTCATTTTTAAAAAAACGAATGAACTTATATACAGTAATAGTGAGTGCCATTAACAGCTCACTCTCACCAATAGATAGACATCCAGATTAAAAAGAAATCAACAAAAAAATCTTCAGAATTATTCAACAGTATAAGCCAAAATGAACATAATAGAAATCTACAGAATATAAGATCCAGAAGCTATACAATATATTCTTCTCAGACACCCATATAACTTTTTCAAAAATAGATCTTTTTATTAGAATATATTAGTTGCACAAAGGAGATTTTGTGACATTATCACACATACAATGTTTCCCTATCAACTTCATTCTCTCTCATCCTCCACCAGAATATTTTATGATACAAAGTGAGTCTCAGGGCTGGGAAGATGGCTTAGTGGTAGAGCACTTTCCTTGCATGCATGAGGCCCTGGGTTCAATTCCTCAGCACCACATAAGCAGAAAAAAAAAAAAAAAAGCTG